TATTTTGTTGTTGTTCATTTTGTTGCTTGGTTTTGTTTGGGGTTTTTTTAATGTATAAACTATAGTGAAAACCATTCAGAAACTATTACAATTGTGTATTTAATATCAGTGTCTGAACAATAGCTTAATTATGGTTTGTGTCACTACTTTAGTATACATATAGGTAGATACTGTCGCTACTGTGTTATTGATAGAGATAGAGAAATGATAGATAGATATAGATTCATTTTTTATCACAGGTATCATGTATTCCCCAGAAATACAGAATTGCATGCTATTCATCTTTGCATCTCTATCCCTAACCAACACATATCAAGTGATTTTGCATACTGCATACTGCCTTTAGGTACTGAGATTATCAAACTTTGTCATCTTCTGATTATAATCTAATTTTGTAGCTCAATGTGACAAGAGGGAGAGAGAATGAGCTGACCAGAGGCTTCTCAAGCCTCCCCTTAGTTCTTCCTACTCATATATATTTTAGAATTCATGAAAAGGCAATAACAATGATAGATACTACTTTGTCTCCAACAATTTTTTCCTTGTTGCTACATATTTTGGACATTTTTTCATGAGCGAAAAGTCCCTGGAAAGGACATCATGCTTGTAAGTGGAGGCATAGAACAATGAGGATGATTCTCAACAAGATGATTTGACCCAATAGCTGCAATTGTGGGTTCCAACATACAGCAATTGTGTCAATGGCATGGAGGGACCAGGCAGTGTGTCTCTCTGTTGTTTGGGGGTCAGAACCAACTCAACAACACCTAACAACAACAAACTCGACCAGGAAAAAACAAAACATGACTATGTGTGTATCTTAGCTATCCATTATGTTACTTCTTTCTATTTTTTAACTTTTTATTATGAGGATGGTGAAGCGCTGAGGAGTGATTCCTTCTATGTGCCTATAGTTGCTATGAGTTGAAACTGACTGGCGGGCCTCTAACAACAAGCAAACCTGCCTTAGAGAAAAAGGACAAGCCAGATGCTCTTTAGAAGCCAAATTGTGAGACTTTTCCACAGACTTTAAACATGTTATCGGGAAGGATCAGTCCCTGGAGAACATCATGCTTGGTAAAGGGTCAAGAAAAATGAGGACTTTTTTCAGCAAGATGGACTGATAGACTGACCGTAACACTGGGCTCAAACATAGAAATGATTGTGAGAAGGATGGAGGACCGGGTACTGTGTTTAACTGTCGTACACAAGGTCCCTCTAAGATTGAACCAAGTTGACAGTACCCAACAACACCATGTCCTACAAAGCTAATCCAATTGCACACTATTATGTTAGCCAAACATTCTTTGAAGGCTATTTTTTCACAGAGAACTAGTAAAAGCCGCTTCTGTGGTATCCTTTGATATGCCATTCTTATAATTACTCTTGAAAATTCAACAGATGCACAAAGATAAAGAAGTAAAAAATAAATTCCAGTCCACAAATTATATACATATATGAATACATAATATATGAATTAATATATAAGATATATGCATCTATTTTTCAACATCTATCACTGACTTACTGTGATGCATAAACCATCTCAGGAAAAGTACCTACTAAGTTGCATTATCTAAGGAGGAAGAGGTTAATATAGTCCAGATAGAGCTGTGCTTGAAGCTTGATGTTCATTTTTACTTCAAACCCTTCTTGGAGTAGTGTAGAGTTCAGAATGATTTGTTCAAGCACTTGTTCAATCACTTTCAGCTGCCAATGACAAAGTTTTATGAAAGGAGACTCATCCTCTTCCTGAAATGAAGGAACCGCATAAGATCTCTGCTCAAGCTTCAGTCTTCTCCTCCAATAGAACTCTATCATAGCACACTGGCTGCTACATGTGAATAATTCAGATTGAAAAGGAAGAGGCTGTAAGATTGTTGTATTATATAAAATTTTGAGTCTTAACTCCCTCGACTTGCAAGTAGATTAATATTACAATGACACACAGATATGATAAACTCTTTAACACATTTTCTTTAATTAATGCATGCTCTGTTTATTATCTTACATTACTTAATAGAGAAACATATTCATATTTTAAAAGTATAACTTAGAGGGGTCCAGTCGGTTTTGGAGGACGTGTATGTAGTGATTAAGGGCACTGAGGCTGGTGTAGAAATTGCTTTTTTCCTATCCTAGCTCATCCTTAGCCATTAGTGTGTCACTAAGCAAGTTATTTATCTTTCTGTATTTATATGTATTTATCTTTCTTGGAGTCTCATATCATCTATTGTGTTAGACAGGGTTCTCTAGAGAAACAAAACCAAAATGCTAATAATTGTATCTATATTTATACAGATAGATAGGTATATAACATAAGAAATAAACATTAATTAAATTATAAAGCAGTACAAATGGCTCAGTCCAACTCATTGTCATGAGACAGTTGTGAGACACTGGCAGTCCTTCAAGTCTTGAGGGCCGCCAGGTAGTCCTCTGTAGAGCAATTCAGGCTATCCGGGCACAGGCAGAAAGCAGCAAGGCAGATCACCAGCAGTCAGCCAGATGACAGGGTCCGACAGTCCCCAGCTCAAGAGATGTAAATTCCAATGGTGTGGCAAAACAGGTCTTGGAGGAACCTCAAATTACATGACACAGTCCATGGGTTAGGTGTCCCACAGGTAATGTAGCTTGCAAATTGAGCCACAGAACAAGCAAGGCAGCCGCACACTGGTCCAATGATCAAAGAGCAAGAGACAAGAAAGGCAAGGCTCGCTGAGCCATTTATCTCTCTACGCTTCAATTAATCCCACATGTGTTAATCAGCCAGGGTGGCACAATAAACTAACTACCTCATCTATAAAATGAAAATATTACTGATATTATTTCAGTGAGAATTAAATTTGATTTAATTTGATCAGCTGATATATGTAAAAACTCAGGATATTATGTATCAAATCATAATCAATAAATGTTCATCGCAGTGTGGTTGAACAAAAGTATTCCATAGGATTATAAAATATGAAAATCCTGATGGGTGAGAAGGGAACAGTATAGAAGTTTCGATTGGGCCTATAAATAATAAATTAAAGGCAAGTAGAATGATGATAACATTGACCAGGTGTGCCAAGTTTTACTTAGAATACTTGTACCACTAAGTTTCCATGTGTTGAATAGAAAGTCAGAATATCACATAATGTTTAGGAGGGTATTCAAAGAGGCACTTTTGGAGGGTTATCAAAATAAAGAGAAGCATAAAGACAGATTACCAATTGGGAAAAGGAACAATTTGATCCACAAGACAAGTTTTAGAAAAAGTCTAATTGCTTCCAAAAAAAATATTCTCTTTGGTAAAGTTAATGGAATGTTAGTGCATAGTTTTTCTAATAAAAAATTACTTCACAAATGATTCAATTTTTAAAATATTTTTCTCAGACATTTTTTAAATAATAGTATTATTAATAGATAATCCACATAGCATGTACTTAGACAGTTATGTCGTATCATGAGGAGCTGCGCAGTCATCGCCACACTCAGTCCCATCAGTAGTTTTTAAAGTCCAAAAGAAAAGAGGATCAAAATGTGTATAAAGAAGTAAAATAAAGTCACAAAATAAATCCAAAATCTGTCGGTAGTTCCAGAAGAAGTTTTATTTCAGAGATCTATCAAAAATCACTAATCTACTCAGATATAAGTTATATATGACATATTTTAATAATATTTAAAATAAGTAAGAATTAGTTTAATTCTATAATGATCTGTTATTAGTTTATCATTGGTTGGTCAATACTAAATTTGTTTGCAGCTCAGAATAATGTCATCTCTGCTTATATTCTCTTTGAGTCTCTGCAAGTTTGAAAGTGCTCCAGTTATTCAGTCATGGATATTATAAACTAATAGAAGTACATGAAAGTAACTAAGAAATATTCATAACAAAATTTCTAAAGATAGCAGCCAATATTGGCAACAATAATAAAAGTAATTGTGATGCCCTTTAAGGTGTTCACTCTCGCAAAAAGCAATATAAACATAGCAATACAATGTTATTGTGGATGTTTTGGGAAATGGCATGAATAGAAGCCATGAATGAAAAGTTCAGGGAGTGATGATTTAACCTTCTAGTTCTACAAAAACCAGGACCTGCTTCAAGAAATTCCTTCATGGGCCAAAAATCAGCAAAGAATTTGGGGATAGATTGTAATCCTAAGAGGTGCCAATAAAAGACACCTCACTGGTATTTCTGCTTTAGTTGGGGTCATAAATAGAAGGACTATATAAAGTATGATCATCTTAGTGGAAATAAGAAAAATCCAAGTCAACAAAAGTCATCAACCTTTTTTTTTTTCAAGTATTAATCAAAAAGTGAGGAGACCTGATTCTCATCCTAAGTCAATAATTTAATATATCTGAAACTGAATACTATCATTTATAAAATGAGTGAACTGGAAAAAGAAATTTCTTTCAAATTCCATTTCTAAAATTCCACAATTCTATTATCTAATGGTTTCCTATATAACCAAAGGATAGGAAACGGGCACTAACCTAAGAGGAAGGAAAGGAACAATGAAGTATTTTGGCAACATGACAAATCACTTGAGGGAAACAGCATTAACTCATTCAAAACAAGCTAACATTTTTTTAAAAACAATATGTTAATATCTGACACTGAATTATTGAATATATTGTCTGGCATCATTTGAGGAATACAACACTTGGAAGTGGTGACGGAGGTGAAAGTCAGCTTTGGTTGAAAAGTTTGCATTATTATAAGGAGACTATGCAGCAAGCACTTGCTAATTTAAAATATATATTTATCAATATAAATACTTATAATGAATATTAAATACAACAATGCATATAAAACACCCAGTACAGGTTATGAAACAGAAAGCACCAATGCAGACTCTCTGTATCCTTATTTATTACAGTTCTACACAACAAAATGGTAGACGCCTAAATGTAACCTAGGACAAAAAATTAATAGGTCTTTAAATGTTTTCATAATTATTTTTCCCCATCACCGATGGAGTGTAGACTACTGTTTTGATCTAGCAGAGTTAGAGTAACTTCCTGTAAGTCACAAGCTGACGGCAAAGTTTCCTCATTGCAGTCTTCATTTCTTTGTTCCTGAATGTGTAGATGACTGGATTCAGAAAAGGGGTGAGAACTGCATCAAAGATAGCAAAAAACTTGTCCAAGTGCGAGGAGGGGAAGGGCCAGGTGTAGAAGAAGATTAGAGGCCCAAAGAATAGAACCACCACAGTGACATGAGCTGACAGCGTGGAGAGGGCCTTGGATAAACCACTGGAAGAGTGTTTCCGAACAGTGGCCAAAATGAAGATGTAAGAAATGATCAGTGCACAGAAGGAACCCACAGAGATGAGTCCACTGTTGGCTGTGACCATGAATTCAAGTCTGTTGGTCTCTGTGCAAGCAAGTTTAATGAGCTGAGGTAGGTCACAGTAAAAGCTGTCCAATACATTAGGGCCACAAAAGGGCAAGTCTACAACAAAAGCCAACTGGGCCACTGAGTGGATGAAGCCAAGAATCCAGGCAGTAATCAAAATCACAATGCACCTCCGTGGGTTCATGATGGTCAGGTAGTGGAGAGGCTTACAGATGGCAATGTACCTGTCAAAGGCCATAGCGATGAGCAACACCATTTCTGTGCCTCCAATCGCGTGAATAAAGAAGACCTGGGTTATACAGCCCCCGAAGGAGATTGCTTTGTGCTTTCTGAAAAGGTCATAAATCATTTTGGGGGCTGCAATCGAGCAAACTCCCAGATCAAGAAAGGAAAGATTGGCCAGCAGGAAGTACATGGGAGAGTGCAAGTGAGGGTCATGGGTCACAGAGAACACAATGAGGAGGTTCCCCATCAAGCTTGCAACATAGAACATGGAGGAGAAGAGAAAGAGTAGAAGCTGGACCCCCCACGAGTTAGAGAGTCCAAGGAACACAAATTCAGACACCACCGAGTGGTTGGCTCCCTCCATCGCCGCTGCCAGCAGAGCGGACTCTGATGTTCCCTGAGAAAGAGAACCAAGACAAAATCAAACTTGGCATGGAGAGTCACTGCCAGGATACACTCAGAACGTTAAAGAGAAACACATTACTTTACGACATACATAGCCAAAACATCAGTATGTAGCCCTTCACCTGCAGTTTTTTTTTTTAATGAGCAATAGCTCATTGCTACAAAGCAGTATTTCTAACTCAGTCTTCCTAAAATGCACCAGGTTTTTATAAAAGAAGGTTATACAAAAAAAAAAAAAATGCTAAATCAGAAAAGGGGGGAAAAATGTGCTGAATCAGGAAAGGGCTTATAGAAGCAGGCTGGAGATGCTCTGGGAGGAAAAACAGGAGAGAAGAAATGGGTAAATGACTTATTGATTTCTCCCTCACAAATTGTTGCCCCTGACCATGGGGTGTACCAAACCACAGGCAATCTATGATAACTTTTCTTAACTCTCTTTATTGCCTCCTATAGGAATCACTATGAATCTTGTTGATATTGTTCATGTTTATTTAGCCTCATGCTCGTGCCTTTTCCTCAGAACAGAAGAAGGTAATGCAGAAGCTCTAAATATATCCAATGCTTGTGGCTCAGCCAGGGAGTGGAAGCAATCACTAAGACAGACCCATAACAGGGTTCCAGTGGCATAAGAACACAGCCAAAACAGAGAGTTATATGAACGAATCTAAACATGGAAGATGCTAATGTAATGTAGCAAACAACATTCCATGTCATTGGAGAGCCTTAATGGCATAGTGGTTATGCATTGGATTGCGAGTCTCAAGGTTAGCAGTTCAAAATCACCAGACAGTCCTCCAGAGAAAGACAGGACTTTCTACTTCCATAAAGAGTTACAGTCTCAGAAACTCACAGGGCCCTGGCCTATCGGGTGGCTGTGAGTTTGTCTCAACTCAATGGCAGTGACTTTGGTTTGGTTTTGGTATTTATAGATCATTGTGCTTGTCATGTGAACTTTCCATGGTCCTGAAATGATAGGAAGGACACTGCTCGTGAAATCAGAAGAGTTTTGATGAAGTGAGAGCCCTGAACCAGGACCCAATTAACTCCTTTCTCCCATTCCTTTCTACACCTGATTCACTACTTGAACTCAGTTCCACGTCTGTAATTAAATAGACTGAGATGGGTGATAAGTCATCCCTCCAGTGCTAGCCCAGTATGTAATGTAGCTGACTATAATGAATGGCATTCTCTAGATTGGGTTGCTGTTATACTCACTTTCTTCCTCCCATCCATATTCCCAAGAAAGCCCCCTCTTTACATCTATCTCCTTATCCCCTAGCCCCTTTTGAACTACTTAACTCGTTCAATTAGCACACACTATAATTTGTTCATTTATTTTTCTTTGCCATAATCATCTTTAAGGAGTCAACAAACATTTACTGAACACCTATCATGCAAAATTCATTGCTTCAGAACTTGCCAAAGTATCAAATAAGACCATTGAATTTATTGAAGTAATAAAACATTTACTACCCTTAAGGTTGTTACATTTTAACACATTTTTAAAAGCTAAATAATAAAAGTACAAAGAATGTTCAAAATGGTGGCATGATCACATGATGTTTGAAGGAGAAAAGATACTCATGAGCCAGGGTGCTCAGGATTGTCTTGGGGACCTGTGTTATACTTTAACAGAAGGGTATAATTTATTTGAGCAGACTCATGTCTCATAGCAAAGAATTACTCAGACACGACAGGAAATACCTCCAAGTTTGGAGCAGTGGTTAGTAAACCACCTATGGAAATTATAACATCAAACACCAAAAAAAAAGTGACTACCGTGTGCAGAATACCATGATAACTCTTTTATCTTGTTTAATATTTACAAACACACTGAGACTTTGATATTAGTAACTTTTCTTTATCCAATCGTATTCACCTTTTTCTCAAAAGAAGAAGAGAATAATGTAGAAGCCCTAAATATATCCAGTTTTTTGTAGCTCAGCCAGGGAGCAGAAGCAAATTAAAACTGGAACTGCAGCATGGTTATGGTAGAATAAGGAGTAAACTGAGATCAAAAAAGAGAAAGTCAATTGCTCAAAGTTACAAACTAGACCAATAGAAAGTAGAACTAGTGAAACTCAGGTCTGATTGTGTGATACATACAACAGTTCCATTCTGGGTGTCCCATGTCCTGTTCTCATTACTCTAGACAGATTTAAGTGAGAGAGAGGTGGGCAGGTTTGTCCAAAAATATTCTAAGGTATCTGGGTTTCTTCGTTAATGCATTTGTAATTCTTCCTGGTTGCTTAAACAACCATTACAAGAAAAGGAAAATTCATATAATACTTATATCTCATACTGTATGGATTGAGTTCCCAAAATGCCATTTTCTTGATCCATGTGTAATTTTTATGTTCCAGTAGAAGAGACACAGTTCTCTCTAATAGAAAAAGCAAGGTGCTCTGTCTCCACATGAAGAAATAAAATAATTTAATATGGAATCATTCTTGCATTCTTGGTATGAATCATACTTGGTCATGATGTATTACTTTTTTCTATACTGTGGGATTCTATTGACTAGAATTTGTTGAGAATTTTGTGAATAGTGCTGGGCTGCACTGGACTAGGCTATCTATGTCTCTGTGTTAATGAGGGACGTTGGTCTATAACTTTCTCTCTCATGATGGCTCTGCTTGCTTTTGGCATTTGGGTAGTTCTCACTTCATAAAATGAATCTGGAGTTCGATACCCTTTTCTATACTCTGGAAAGTTTGAGTAGAATGCTTGATAGAATTCTCCAGTGAAACCATCTAGGCTCAGACTTCGTCATTGGGAGATTTTTAATAACTTGATCAGTTTCTTCTTCTGTTATGGCTCTGTTAAGGTTTTATACTTCAGTCCATGTTAGTTTAGATAGATTCTGTATTTCCAGAAATTTGTCTATTTCTTCTGAGTTTTAAATTAGAGAACAGTTCTTCACCGTATTCTATTATTATCCTTTTCATTTTAGTTATTCTGTTGTGATGTCACCCCCTCTTTTCTTATTCATGTCATATGCATCTTCACATTTTACTTCATTAGATTTGCCAGTGATTTGTTCTTTTTTTATCTTTACAAAGAACCAACTTCTAGCTTGTTGACACACTCTATTGTTTTTTCAGTTTTATATCATTTATCTCTGCTCCAATCTTTAATACTTCTTTTCTTCTGGCAGCTATAGACTTATTTGGCTGCTCTTTTTCTAAATGGTGGAGTTTTGGGGTTACAGTATTGATGTTTTATTCTTTCTCTTTTTTGTGCATTTATTGGTCAAAATTGCCCTCAGTCCTGCTTTTTCTGTGTTGCAAAGTTTTGGTATATTGTTATTGTTCTTGTTTGATTAAATTAAAAGGGAGAATAGGACATGCTCAGACAATTCACTAAAGAAGACAATTCACACAGCCAACAAGCATGCATGAGCAAGATTACCAGCCATTCAAGAGATGTGAATCAAATCGCCTCACCCCAAAATCAATAGCAAAGTTCAAAAAAACAGACAGCAACAAATGCTGGTGGAAATACAGAGAGACTGGAATCCTTGTATACTGCAGGTGGGAATAAAAAACAGTGTAGCCACTGTGGAAAACAGTATGGCATTGCTTCAAAAAGTTGAGAATAGAAACACCATGTGACCCAGAAATCTCTCTACTTGGTATATATCCTACAAAAAAAAGAGCCAGGACATTAATAGATACATGGACACACATTCATGGCAGCATTCACAACGTGCCAAAAGATGACAACCTAAATACCCATAATGGAAGAATGGGTAAACTTTGTTCATATACACAATGGAATATTACTCAATGTTAAAGAGCAGTAATGAATCAATGAAACATATCATAACATGGAGGCACCTGGAGAGCATTATGCTGAGTGAAATTAGTCAATCACAAAAAGACAAAAATAATAGTGGCCTCTACTGTAAGATATCAAGAAAAGATTTTTTAAATTTTTTAACTAGAAGTAACATTCTCTGATGTTTACTGCAAGGGTAAGAGAAAGGCAGGGAGGGAAAGTCATGGATTAGAGAGTACACAAGTGTTAACTGAGTGAAGGGGAAGGCAATATACAATAAAGGGGAAGTTAGGGACAAGTGATTGATGCAGCAGAAGTTAATGGTAGGGTTCAAGTTAAGGCTAAAGAAGCAAATGCAGTTATATACAAAATTCTCCAATAGTACTGATTTATGCTTCGATTGAAATGCAGGCTGAACAGGTGTAGGTGGGAGAGTAGAAGTATACCTATCAATAGATATAAATTTGACAGAGAAGATATATATATACAATACAAATCTTCCCTGTCAAATTTATATCTGCAAATTTTTCCACAAATGTGGTGGCGCACACATGGGCCAAAGTTATGAAAACTTCTGAGACATAACCAAATACCTTGAGGGAAAGAATCGCTGGGCCTGGCGGCTCAGGACTACAATCTTGGGGGACACCAAGGTTAATCAGCATGACACAGTTCACAAAAACAATGTTCTACATCCTGCTTTGATGAGTAGTGACCTGAAATGCTTGTGAGTAGCCATTGAAGGTGCAATTATTGATCACTCCAGAGGAGAAGAATAATGACAATTGAAAGAAATATAGAAATAATTATAAACCCAATGGTCTAATGGATTGTGCAAGCATCAGCCTCCACAGCTCTGAAATGAAGGAACTAGCTAGTGCCTGAATACCTCATACCACTCTGACTGCTCTAAAGCGATCACATTCGAAGGTCCTGGATAGAATGGGAGAAAACGTGGAGCAAAGCCCATAAGCAGAAAAGAGACCAGGCTTACCAGACGATCAGAGAATGGTGGAACACTTTTACAGTCTGTGGCACTCAATCACCCTCGAGGTCTGAAACTGGATTCACCCCAATCTTAGAATAATCAACCACTTCAGAGCAAAAGGACAGCATTTACCAAAGGACAAAACACAGAAAGGTAGGAGAGAAGAGAAGTACAAACAGGAACAACAGGCAGAGAGTGGGATAAGGGATGGTGCAGTGAGGGGTGCATGGACGCATTGAAACAAAATGTGTGCGAGTTGTTTGTAAAACTGATCATCTGCTCTGAAAACCTTTACCTCAGTCACAAGAAACTTTTCCTAAATAAAAGTAAGTGAAATAATCACCCACACCACGCAAAGAAAGAAAATAAGCCTCCAACTAAACTAAGTCAGATGTTATTCCCACTTACAAATCTGCCTCCAAACCCTTCTAATTTCTTTATCTTGGATTCTAACTTAGGATTTCAATGATGTCATAGATAGATAGATAGATAGATAGATAGATAGATAGATAGAT